ATGGCGACAGTGGAGGTACTGGAGACACCCCACTCCTACGCGATGGTACGATTCTCGATTTGCGTGAGCAGAGCTTCCTCGGTGGGACTTTCTTACTCGACAGATCTACAAGGCGGCAGAATGATTACCAACATGTAATGAGAGTGCAGAGGAGGAGGAGGCCGTTCATCGGCACACACTTACAATTTACAGTGGCCTCAAGGAATCGAACTGATGCCCAGATGACGCACTACGTCGCCAAATTGACTACATAGCAGTAGTTCAGCAAGGCAAAGCCCAGGTAGGCGCAGAAAAACGTTACGCAGACCAACTTGATCTCCGACATCATCACCACGTCACCGGAATGTCAGAATTGCGATGTGCCTGGCTCATCGATCTTCGGCTCGAAGAAGATTGGAAATTGGCGTGACTGACAACGTGCAATCACTCAAGCACGCTGGCCGCGAGTGATGGGGAGATGTGGGGCTTTGTGGACAGGCTGGGTTTTGTGAGACCTGAGCAGCACATGCGCAGAGTGAGCAGAGACAGAATGAGGCAAGACCAGCAAACGATGATACACAGAACGAATTGCCTCCTTTTAACCAGTGGCTAAACTTAACAAGCCTTCCTGAACCTTGTTGCAGGTACATGTGATGGGTTGAGGTGAGGGTGGCAAAAAATGGTAGGAGAGACAAAGGAGAAAATGGGATGATATAATGGGAAGTAGAAGGTGTTGGTCTATAAGTTGGAATAGAAAATGGGGGAGAGGGCGTATAGTTACGTGCTCACGAGTTTGGAAGTGCAGATTTGCTGCTGTTTGGCTTAATTTACTTTGAGTTAATGTGTAATCTGTGGATTTAACATAATGCGCGACTCAACAGCCACGAAACTGAGTGTTTCACCCTTCTCCTCATTTCATCTTGTCGAGAACGAGACTAAGTGACATTTCAGTGGACACAACTTCGTTCATTCGCCAGACGGTTTCACAAGTCAACGTGGAATGAACCTCAATGTGGCATTTGAAATGGGGCAACTGGCAGACCAGTTCAGGTCAGGCCATTTCGGGTTAATTTGGGATATGGAGCGTAGCATAGCGCAGCCGTCTCAATGACACTAAGACAAGTCAGCTTTCCCTTGTCCCTCAAACACAAGGAATTGCGGCAGTGGTCCCTCGAACTCAGTAACACATTTTCCATGCCACAATGCCAAAAGCAAGCAGGTCTGATGACCTGATGGTTGAGCGCATTTCGAAATACTGGGAAAGTAATATGTTTCTGCGACACTCA